TAGTTTTTAAAAGAGGTTAAACAGTAGGAATGAGGGACTGCAATCGGGGGGGTATTCACAGCCTCTTTCGGGGTTTCTGGAGCTGCCAGTCACAGAAAGGAGAAAAGCTTAAATAAACTCACATTTTATCTGTGCATTAGCTTAGTCATTTGCATTTTCCACTGTGTTGTGGGCATTTGTGATTTCTGAATTATACTGACTGTTTCTTCCAAATAGTCTCTCAAAAACTGGGCATGGTGCTTTTTTATGTTTCATGTTAAAAGGCTCCAAGTAGAAGGGGAAAATATGTTGAGACAGGAATCATAAAGGCAAATGTAATTAGGAAACATATGAGAAGATTCTCAGATTCTTTTGAACGTATTTGAAAGGAAATGGATAAAAAGTAAATAAAACACATTGTTTAAAAATGTTTCATATTAGACTTTTCCTATAAATGTTTTAGCTTTTTATTTTATAGATTTCATGCTATTCTAATCAAATTGATTTTTGTAACTTCACGGCTGGAACGGCAAACCGTCCAGCCTGTTTTCACATTGCAGGGGTGGCCTCACCACTCTTTTATCTCTCTCTAGCTGGGGGAAAATAAAGTCAGGAAAGTGAGCCAAAAAATTCTAATTCCAAATCTTTTATAGAAACTTCTACTGAAGAAACTCAGGCACCACCTCATGGAAAGTGCCTAAGTATTGGGTCAGAACAGTTCCAACTTCCCCGCAAATCAAAGCCTGACTAGTTTACTCTTGTTCATGAAGAGTGTGAGGACTTGTAAAAGATATTAATGAAAGTGTAAACTCGCATGGAGGAAAAATAAATCTGGGCTGGAGAGGATTTGGGTGTTTAAAAATAAAGCAAACACCGTGTCCAAATAGTAGAATTAGAGTTGCCGTGTAATCTAAAAAGCAATTTAGAGACGCAAGGGTTTTGCTGGCCAGCCGTCATCTGGATGAAGGTCCAATCTCATCTTTACAATCAAAGAGTTAACTATGATGTCCCAGCACACAAATAAGTAAATGTGGTATAATTAGGAAACAAATTCTGCAGACATCTTGAAAGGGGCTAAAGATCTTTGATCTTTATAGAAAAGAAAACATTACAATACAGCCTAGCTTTTGGGCTCTGCACACATTTTATACCAAAGCAGAGGATGGTATCTTTCTTAAAAATCAAGTAACACCTAATTCCATCATACCCTAATTATCTTAACTGATCTCATATGTCTGAAGGTCTTTTGCCAAAAGATTAGAGTAGAAAGAGGGACTGACAAAATAATTAAATATGCAATTTGCCAACCTTGGGCAATATGGCTTTGAAATCACCTTTTCAGGAAGTTTTACAGCTTGTTCAGTGACATATATATTGCAGCCTTCAGATTCTTATTTAAGCTCTTTTGATTACTTTAATGGATTAATACCTGAGTACCATCAACATAAAGACTAATACTCGAGCCTGTTTCTAATTTGACAAAGATTGCACTAGCTCCCTTTTGGTGTTATGACAAAAACTATAAATGGACTCCTGAGTTTTTTTTAAATCACAAAATTCCACTTTCCAAAAGAATTCCTTGAATATAAAACTATGCCTCTGCCTAGTGTTGCTTTCAGTTGGATGAAATGCTTTCATGCCCTGTAAGGTTTCTGTAATCTAGCCAGCATGCACACAGCCAAATACAATATGTGACATGGTAGGTTCTAACAGAATAGCGCAGGATTGCCACTTTAATCCTTCTGGATTTATTCTGGGGGGTAGCTTCTTAATGAATCCATGTCTTGAGTTGTGCAGAAGTTCATGGTTGAAAATATAAACGGAGCCAGTAAGAAAATATACGGATTGTGTTGCAGCTTGTTGATATGCTACTGAAAAAGGAAACAAAACATCACATGAGAAATTGGTTCTGTGTTTGGCTGCAAAGGGACGTCACTCAGACTTGGGTTACAAACCGGTTTCTTTTTTGGGACTGAGGAGGCCAACCTACCGTGGCTCAAATCGGGTGTATTGTAGGGTACATTTACACAGCAGTGTTATTTTGCAATAACATAATCCATGTCTACACAGCAGGCAGTTATTTCGAAATAGTGTCAAAATACTGTCAAGCTGGAGGACGTCTTACTCCAACTCCTGTAACCCTCCCTGTATGAGGAGTAAGGGGAGTCGGGAAAAAGAGTGCTCGATTTAGAAATAAGTGCTGTGTAGATGCTTCTAATTTCAAAATAAGCTACACAGTGGACGTGGCTCAATTTGTGTCACTTATTTTGGGTTAAGCCCTGCTGTGTAGGCCCTTCAAGTCTGGTGTTAGGGAGACTTTCCAAGTCTGGGTTTGCGCTAGAGAAGGCTGGTCACATCACAGCTCCTGTGTAGCCCCGGGGGAGGCAGGCAAAGGCCTCTTTTGCCAAGTGGCTGCAGCAGATTCTGAGTGCTGGAACCCGAGAGACAAGCGGGAACGTGCTGGGGCCTTGTTTCTTTGTCTCCGAGCTTGAGATGGGTCTTGAGACAGATGCAGCACGCCGGCCGTGCTCGCTCTGTGCCATAGTGGCAGATTCTGGTCTCCAGTGGGTGTATCCGGCTCTGAGATGATCAGTGTCAGATGGATCCTCCCGTGGCAAAGGACTAGACACTGGCTCCTATGGCATCTCCCACCCCGGTGCCAGCATGGCCGGAGGATGCTCCTATACGGCACCACACTCTGGCTGCTCTCTAGCCACATGGAGCTGTTAGCTGCTGGTATCAGAGCAGCCCGGGGACTGGTCTAACCTGCCTGGGCTGGGAGAAGGCACAGCGGAGCTCTAGGCCGTCTTTACACCCCACTTCTCTGCTCATCTGGCCCAGAATTCTCAGAGGTGATTCTGCCTCGTGGCTGGCTGGCAGCCCCCATTAACAGCAACCGTTTCCTGCTGTGTAATGCCGGCCTTGTGTGAACAGTATTTTGGGAGAGTTCCTGCAGGTGCACAGTGCCCTCTCTCCCTCCCGCCGCAGAATTACGTGCACACTCATCGTTCGGTCAAAGTCCAGAACACGCGTTTTTCTGGAAGGTTCTCTCAGTCTGAAAGAAAAGGCTAACGGGTTGACGCTGGCAAGGGCGAATGGTTTCTTGGCTTGCCAAGGATTTTCAGAGAGGTGTATGGTTTTTATATTCTTTTAAAGACGAAATTATAATATTTAAAGCTTCTTTTAGTTAAATATTTGAAATACACAATAAAAATATTTAATGTCAAATTTAAAAGCGGAGCGAGAACATCTGCACTGACAAGACAAGGAGTCCCCCAGTACACTGAGGCAGTAAGCGATGGACACGCCGCTTTCCCTGGTTTTAAATTTTGTACCTTTAGTGGCACAAACATTTGCAGAACAGCAGCACCTGTCCCGGGAGGCTGCCACAGGGATTCGCTAGCAGAAATACTGGCGCATCACAACACCTCCGTGCGGTAGGGTCAGTCCATGTTACTAGCACTGAAAGGGCCAGAGGCCGCGCTCATTCACACGGTGAAAAATCAGACCCAACTTTTTCGAAATTAACGGGACAACTAAGCGAGAGCAAATGCCAGCTCCTAGCTGTTACAGGGCTGGGCCGCGGTCATCCAGATGGTCTGCAGCCAATGGAACCCAGGCGGCCGGAGTCCTGCTGCCAACCGCGTCCCGGACTGGAGTGCAAATACAAAACTAGACACACTCGGGAAAGGGAACCACGCTCCAAACGTGTAACAGTGATGGAGCCGCCAGACTCCTGTGGAGTAACGCACTGTATCTGCTGCACACTAGATGAGGGCGGCACAGCCGGAAGTCAAACCTCTCTTGGAAACCGGCCTCTTCCTCCGAGCGCTCAGCTCACAAGTGCCCCTGGGCTGCCAGGGTCTGGCCTCGTGTGCACCGAGTGCTCGTGTTTTCACGGCTCCGCAGACAATCCGGCTCCAGGCAAAAGGTGCCTGCTCACAGATCTCGGGTTGCCAGGTGTCCGGTTTTCTACTGGACAGTCCGTTTTTGGGGCCTCTGTCAGTCCTGCTCTCCGCCGGCTGATTTGCTCCCCCGCCCCCACTTTGCTGCCCGGTTGGTTGATTCTCCCCAATTTCTCCTCCTGGTCTTCCCTGGCCAGTCCCTCCCCACCCCCGCCGCGAGCTCTGCCTCCTGCTCTGCCTCCTGCTGGCCAGTTCCTGCTCTTGCCCGGACAGCCCCACTGCACCCCTGCCAGCCCTGCGTTTGGCGGCCA